TCAGGTAATTAAAATAAAGGAATTTAATTTCTCCCCCCTTTATTCTGTTTTATTTCAATTAAGACTATACATTTAAAAAATAATATATAGTATATAGTATATATATATATATATATATATATATATATAGAAACAGGAGCACTTATTTCAAACAATAATGCTTAGCAAACTGAGCGATTATTAAGGTTTCTTTTTTAAAATTTAAATCTTATTTTTTTAATCTATTTAATTCACATAAAATGAAATATATTTAATTTTTAATGTATACGAACGATAATTTTTATGAACATTTGCAGGGTTATTTTAATTAAGAAAAGACGTTTCTAATGCCGTGTATAACGTAATGCGATTTTTTTTTTTCTTTTTTTTTACCTTTGAGCCAATAAACCAGTATTGTAGATATTTGTTGTAGATTGTATTTATTGTAGACATTAATTTAATAGAAAAACATATGCTTTATCATTTTATCTCTTCGCTTTACGGAACTGAATAACAAAATAAATGCATAGCTTAACAAGCATATAAATTTCATTCTCCTCGAAAGAATAATAAGCTCTCTGAATAACTGGAGTTGAGATATTGGATATTGAGAATTCCTGATAACGGGAGTTCATATATTTGAAGTTCATCTGTATATTATTTACTTTATTTCTTATTTAACAGATAACCGATTTCTTTGCATATTTTGTAATAATCGGAAAGCTCAAGTTTTATAATTAAACTAGCTGAAGTACTCGACGTTGCCCGGGCTTTACGCAAAGTGAAGAGGCTTCATTTAGGGGATGTAGGTAATCTCAGGTAGAAAGGTGAATTGTTAAAAATTTTAGCAAGCTCGAATAAGACTAGATTTTATTTAGACAGAAAACATACTTTTTTGGGGCACGTTTTATCGCAAAGCATGAAGGTACACAGTGCTTTTCGTTTGTTCGTCCGGACAGTAAACGAACTAACTATCCGGCTTGTCAACTCTTGAGCAAGCCACGTATAATGTGAAAAATATAAGTTATGTAGTACTTCCAAGTTAATACCTACTAACAAATTGATTGCCCTTGTGCCTTATTGATAATCATAGAACATGCTAGGCGGCTGGGAAACTGCAATCGCTTCAAATTCGAAGGGTATATTTCAGTTTCTGGATATCAACAGAACTTGAGGAATGAACACATCTTCAACTGTAGCATACCTCGTATGGTGATGGCCTCTCAGAGCTGGATTAATCATTAAGCAATATAGTAAGTACGTGCTAAGGGCATCAAGAAAAGAGGGGATCACTAAAAGGTCTTTAGCTGTTCAGAAAAAAGGTCACCAAGAATTTCCTACTGCCAATTTTACCATGGAATGCATTGTGCAGTCGAGCAAAATACAGAGAGAAAGAAGGAACGAAGGAAAAATAAACGTTGTAAACGTATGGCGGTGGCACCAAAATCTTTTAAATGGTTAGGGCCTTTAAAGGTCTTAAATCGGCCCTGTAACCTCTGCTACGTAATATCAGTCCGCCAATCCATTACTTAAAGGGATGCACTCTTATCCTTTATGTTTTTTTTTCGGAAAATAACTATCCAATTTGGCCAGTTTCTTTACGGTTTTCGGAAATACATGCACACTTGATACAATGCCCCTTTTAATTTGCATTTAAAATTGAAGTTCTACACTATTCTAACAAGTAAACGAGCACTGCACCCTATAACAGTTTTAGTATGATTTGATAGCGGGAAAGTAACAAGAGATTTTTTTTTCTTTTCTTAACATTCGTTTTTAAACTACAGTACCAACTATAACAACTCCTATTAGTGCCACCTTCGATAATAAAATGATCTTTTCTCATTTTCTTTCTTTCTTCCCCTCTCCCCAACCTTAAAAGAGATGTGCTGTTTTCATTTGACATATAAAATCCCGTCTTGAAAATAAGTAAGTAAGTAATGAAAGAATAAATTAAATTAAATATAAATAAATAAATTAAATAAAAATTCGGTGACACTATCACGCTTTGGAAACTGACGGACGAAGGAAAGAGAAGAGCTTTATAAAAGATCGCTATACAGAAGCAGCACTGCCAATGCGCTACGCAAAGCCCTGAGTGGAAAGAATTCTGACTATTGTTTTCGGCAAAGTATAAAACTCTTTTATCTTTTGAATTGAATCAACCTGATGTAAATGCACAAAATGAAGGATTTAAAAGCAACAGACTGCAACTACGTGAAACATAATGTTTACTGTCCATGCATTCTTGGGCATACTAAATAAATCTCGAATACTGCTATTTAGCCAAACATAAGATCTTTAATTTATCTTTCACTTATTCAGTCTGTTAAGGATTGAAAAATTGTGCGATTTGTTGTTGTTATCAATCTCACCTGTCTGACAAATGTCAGCAACAAGCCCACAGCATCTATCGTGGCAAGGAATCATATGCGCTTGCCGTTGGCAACAGGTTTGAGCACCATATAGGTGACAGCACGATTTTATCTCAGTTCCCCCCCCCCCCCCCCCCCCAGTTTTGAAAGACAGCACTCCGAGGGAACGGGTACGAGGGTTTCCCACCTCTCTTTCCCTACCACCATCATCTTGAGAGTGTTGGCCTCAGCTCGTGTTTAGAGTGCCCATGCCGCACAGCCACTACACATTTACAAACATCCATGCCTTCTCCGGATTCCTGGGCCCTTCGGTACGGCATTCAGAGTCACTAACACTATCCCGGTTGGGTGACACTGAGGGATTTAAAAATAATAAACATACTTCTTAATTAAAGATTTATTTTAATTTTTAACAATAGCTAGCTGACATAAAATTAAAATGTATTTAACTTATAATACAGCTAACTAATAATTTATATGAATATATATAGCATTTTTGCAATTAATAAAATATGTGTCTATTGCCATATATTAAATAACTGGCACAGAGTAATTAAAAATTATGATGTTTTGCACTTTAAATTTTTTAAACACAATAAGGGAACCTCTTTGAGTGTTTATTATTTTCGGTTCTCGGATTTAGTGTCCTTATGAAATAGAAACTATTACCATTCAAGGAAAATATTTGTTGTAAGCTTCGTAAGCAAGCGATTCAGAGAAATAAAGACATAGCTACATATCGAATAAAACAAAAGTGTATTCTTTATTAATTAAGGGCGCAAGTTTCCGCTAAGCATTAATTTACGATAAAATAATGTTGCCGCAGTTTTTTTCCATTACGATTTTCCATTTTTTTCCATTACCTATTTTCAAGAGCTCATTTAAAACTCGAACTTTTTTGTTCTTTATCTTTATTGTAATGGCTTTGATTTAAATTGTTTCAGACAGAGCTTAAATTTCGCTGGAGGCTGGCCCCGGTACTTCTCAATCTTTGAGGTAAAATCTAAATTTTAGCCAGTTCTCACCGGAGGCCTAAATAAGAGGTCTTCGGTACTTCTTTTATGTAAATGACACACAATTTCACCAGAAAATTTTGATCTCGAAAATTTTATTTTTATAATAAGTATGCCTTACAAATTTATTCTATTTGTTGAATGTATGTTCTTCTTTCCTGGGGAACAAACCTTTTGATACAGGTGGGGACTTTTAAGAGAAAAGTCCCTAATATTAAAGGTTTATTCTGCAGGAAGTGCAATGAATTTATCGGCAGCGACTAAATTTTTCCTTCCCGAAGATAATAAAAGTGATCACCCTAGTCGTGCACGTCCAATGCTAGTGATTTCTCGCGGAAGAGAGCACAGACTTTTTGGGATCGATATAACCTAATAGGGGTTGGGATTATCACTTGTACAGAACCTTTTAGATCAGTCTCGGATTTGGGAGACATTTTTTTTTCTCTGTCGTGTTCTGCTTGACACTTAGAATTATATTGACAGGTACGAGATCACAAACAGTTGGACTCTTCTTTCTTTGTTTTCGTATCTACACATTCCCGCTAAAATTTCTGTTCATACTTTCGTACCCTTTCTCGCATTTTCTCTGTTCTCATAGTAACGCTTTAACGTTTTACCTTTTTTAAATAATGTACTAAAAAAAAAAAAGGAAATATTTTATTCTATCATCTCTTGAATTAGTACATTTCAACCGGAGCCCAGCTCAGCTATTCTTGAATTCTTATGAAATTGTAATTCCAGCCCCAGCCCTAAATAAGACGACGTCCAGTATATTATTATTATGCAACTATATTTTGCTAAATTAATAATTTATTAAATTTTTATTTAGGTCTTCGAATTTCATTGAACTTTAATTGTATTCATTTTTATTTAAATAATAAATTATTTTATCACTTATTTATTTATTTTTAATTCCTCTTTCTTGACAATCTTCTGTAGGCTTCTAATTTTAGGAATTAACTGAAATGTACATACCAAGATCAGACTGCAATTACGCTTAATTTTATGATTTTTTTCATATTTTTTTTAGATTAAGAATATTTAAAATTTTTTCTTAACTTTTTGAAACTAGGTAACATTTTCAAGGTGTAATCTGACTATAGACTATAATTGCAATTTTCAGATTGCAATATCCTTCTTAATTTTTTTAACGGTAAGGTTTTCTTTGAGGTGTTATACTGGTGTCCCACGGCACTTTTAATTTTAAAACTATAGCAGTGGTTAGCATATATGGTTAGAAAAAAATTGTTTCTCCCTTTAAAAAGATTCAATTTAGTTAACATTTCTCAAAACATCATGTAATACACAATTTCGTCTGGTCTCATATTAAATGTGCTTTTACTGGCATTACGGATTTTGGTTCGAATGAAAACATAGACACGTAAGAGCACTGTGTTGAATTGTTGGGGTTCAAAATAACCATTTATGTAGTGGACCTCTTCGTTATATGCTACAAATAAGAGTAGAGCGATAAATAAATTTAACTTCTGAAACTTAGAGGAGATAAAGGTTAAGACGTCGGCAGTAACCATGTGCTTATATCCAAAATAACGCCTTCTTGGCGACAATTGGAGAGCTGTGGCGAATTTGGCTGAGGTTGCTAGGAGACCTATGTTTTAGCAAAACGGTGATATCGTCACAGGTTAGTCGTTCAGTCTGTGCTCAAGATGAAAGTTATTGAATATATGATTTCTAGGTGGTATTCTTCCAGTTCTTGAAGAATTGAAAGATTCTTGGAATGAATGACTGCGGAAGACTGGTTTTTCCCGTTACATTGAACATAACGGTATATTCTGTACGACCTTTCACTGCCAACGTGTTTATTTCCGACAGTTTAAATCTAAGTTCAAGGTGTTAATCAAATCCGAAAAAAGTGTAAATATTTTCAAAAATGCCTTCGTTTGAAAAAAAGTCTGCTGTCATGAATGAAGTAGAGAAGCATTTCAAGTCTTTTATTGCTGGAGGTAAAACTTTTCGTTTGTGTGATAAATGGTATATAAAGTTTTTTTTTCCTGTTTGTTAAAATTTTTTTTTTATGGAATTAATTGTTGTATGGATTATTTGTTAATAAAAAGAAATAAATTTTATCTACTTATAGGAGAGTTTCATAAATGTTAATAGTAGTACTTGTGTACTTATTTTTTTAATTTCATATAAACGATTTCAGAAAACCTTGTCAAAAGAAAAATTGGCTTAATTTTTTATTTGGTCGCAATCGTGTTTTCAGTGTAAAATTCTACTGCATATATTCTGAACGGAGTTACTACCAATCCACTAACCCGTGAAACCACGCGATGTCGATGATCTTGTGCAGTGGGTATAATTACAACAGCACATTCGAAATCGCACACTTCAGATTCTGCTGCTTATGTAAACATATTTGGATGTTCAAATTAAGGGGTGCTGTTTTTATTAAAATGATGCATGTAATGTACTGGGCAGTGGCTTACAGAACACTGATTAAAAAAAAGGCTAAATGAATGGATATATCTCGATGTTGTAGTGACACAATCTCCATGTCAGAAGTCCTTTAATTTTACCTAAGTATTTTATTAATTTATACTTAAATGGTTTTCACTTACTGCATCACTTAGTAAAAATTGCATGCAACATAGTGTTAGAAATGCATTCCATTTTTTTTATGCTCATCATATTAGGGGGGAAAATCAGAAAATTCTCATTTAAATAAAAATCAAATTTTTTAAACACTCTGAAATTAGTTTCATTATTGGCTTTTATCTGCATTATTATTAACTTAACATGTGTAATTACTTTGATTTCAGGTGTAGCTGGAATGTGTGCAAAAACGACTGTGGCTCCACTTGACAGAATAAAAATACTTCTACAGGCTCATAATCATCATTATAAGCATTTAGGTAAATATTTCAAACTATCTTAACCCTTTGAGGTTCGGTGCATAATTTTTTTTTTTTTTTTTGAAATATTAACTTTACACATAGATAACTAGTCCCTAATACAATGTTATTTCATGAAAAAAAAAAAAAAAAAAAAAGTAAACCTTTAAGGAAATTCGTGACATGGTGGAATACTGCTTGTCCCACCGTGCACCTAGAGCAGTAAAATGGCATCTCTGGCTCAGCGTCAAATAAAAATACAAGATATAAAAAACATTTTTGAATAATTATCTAGAAAATATTGATCATATTCGAAAAAAAAAAATATTTCTTTCAAAAAATTATATAATTTAAAAAAATTGCTCTCTGTACGACTTTTAATTATATTTTTTAATGATTTCAAAATAGATTTGAAACAGAGAAGATTTTCGCTCCAGTACTTTATTTGCTACAGGTTTGAAAAGGAAGATGTTTAGAAGGCCGTCATGATTTACATTTCACCTTTCGTCTGCTTAGGGTATTTTTGTATGGTGAATCACACTCGCATATCCATTCAGTATTCAATGACATTTCCTGTTACAGAATTATATTTTCATTTCTTTCAGAAAAAATTCTAAATATTTTTCAAGTTTTAACATTATTGCAATTTATTAAAAAATATAAATTTGCATTATCAACATATAAAACGAACAGTGACCAGACAAAAGCTCACTGGACGAAAGCACATGTGACAAAAGCCCACAAAAAAGACCCCACTGGGGTTATTGCCCATGTGACTAATACCCACACCGATGAAAGCGCACATTGATAAAAGCCCACATTGATAAAAACCCACACAGATATAAGCACATGCTGATAAAAGCCCACACTGACAAAAACCCACACCAAAATATATGCTACGTTAAAATTAATATTTTTCCCCTTTTTTCTTCAGCTGCACAAAGCATATTCATGAAAAAAATAAATTAATAACAAATAATTGAACAATACATCTAAGTAGCGGAACACATTTCATTTTGGGCTCCATATGAATTAAAACCCGGTATGTATATAGAACAGAGTCAATCAAAATAATGTAATTAAAAACATATACATATAGAACAGAATTTCTAATATCTTGTTTTTTTGCATGAAATGTTTCACCAGTTTTTAAGGTTTGTTCTTAAGAATAATTCATTAAACAGAAGTTCTCATAGGTTTATTAGATAAATAAACTATTTTGAATTCAACATCAAATTTTAAACATAATTTTTTTTTTTAAATTTGTGTCTTAACTTTAATTTTCAAAAAACATGCTAGTGATCCGAAGTTTTGTATAACAAAAGATAGAATAAGAGAAGTGTGATAAATTAAATTATCTGTACATTCAGTCACTATTAAAAACTAATTCTGTCTAGACTATGAATCCTTAATCAGGAGGAATACCCCCAAGGGGAATTTCACAGTTTCAGAGAGTAATTTAGTCAACTTTTTCTTTACGTATTAAGTATTTAAATTTAGTTTATGAATATAAAAAAAACTTTTGTTCAAATTCTGGTATTTATCAACATGTTTTATACTTGTTTAATTTATAAAATGCATTACAGATAATCCTATTTGAACAAACGTATAAGTACTTTTCAAGTTTGGGGAAGGAGGTATTGAATGATCATTTAGCAATGGTGAAAAGGGCACATGAACGAAAAACTGTTGAGAATCACTGGTCTAGACTGAGCCAACTTGAATTAAATATAGAATTTTATACTTTAGGGATCTTTAGTTCTTATTGCAGAGTCATTAGTTTTTTTTTTTTTTTTTAAAATGCAGGAAACATGAAAATAAGCAATGCCCTCTCCGAGACTCGAACCTGAATATCTCGAATACGAGTCGATTGTACTAACCATTAAACCACAAAAGCATGCTAGAAGAAGGGACAAATACCTTATATGCTTCCCCTTTTAAAGACAACTGGGGATTAGTCGTCAAATCTTGGTGGGGAAGAATCATCATCCACCACCGTTTTTTTAGCTCAGGCGCGATGCTGGAGACATGGAAAACTAGCAATGCGCTCGCCGGGACTCTAGCCTGAACCTCTCGAATACGCGCCGAGCTGCTAACTGTTACACCATGAAGGCATGCTGGAAAATAGTTCTTGTAAACAGTTCTCTTGGATAAAAGGTTTCAACATTTATCCTTATTCTGTTGTTACTGAACATCATGTTGATTAGTGAGTTTGGTTTGGTGTATGTGAGCACGTCAAAGCCTCGAGGGCTATCTGCCAGAGGAGAGAGATGCCTTCGTGGAAGACTTTCTAAGAGAAACTGACTCTTATACAAGTTACACATGGAAAACTACGAAAATGCCCATGCAGCCAGCCCGTCCGCGGGATTCGAAACTCGGACTGAACTACCAGTGTTCCGCGACTTTACCGCTCGGCGGACTCTATTGACTAGTGAGAAGTCACCAGCAATCTTATAGAAGGTCATTGACAATTTGCATGCTCCCGTAAACGATTCAGCCTTATAACTTGTTTGTTAGCTCCATTCTTAAAGCTAACATTCAAACCTAAAATTAAATAAAATTCCACGTTTTATTGGGGTTAGTTTCATAAAAAAATTTCTATTGATTTCAAAAGAGAAACAAATTTTGAGCAATTGTTGAGATAAGCAGTATGCATAACAACTTACATATATTACATTCTAAATGTGAAAACACTTTTTTGATTGGTAGAACATATCTCATCTAAGACTTAATCATTTATTTTTGATTCGCAAAACTTTCTAGACATTGTTCCTTTGAAAACAAATCTGAGAAAAAGTTCAAATATCGGAAAAAATAAATAATTAGTTAGATGAATAAAAATTTATAAAAAATGGAATAAAAGCGATATATTAAGAAAACGTCAGTCATCCAATTCTTAAGCTTTTCATGTAGGCACAAGGCTCACCAGCGGCCAAGCGGTAAAAACACTGAATCCTGGTAGCTCGGTCCGGGGTTAAAATCCCGATGGAAAAGCTGACTGCATGGTCACTTTCGGGGTTTTCCACTTGCGTAACATATATATGAGAGAATTGGCTTTAAAACGACCTCCACGAAGGCATGCCTTTCCTTGGCTTAGTGTAATTTCGTCCGTTTTCTTTTCATGCCGAGTTCGAAATAGTGTCGTTTGTTCGCTGCTGTTCACACTTATTCTGCCTTTCCCGTTTCATTTGCTGTTCGAAAAGTCACTTTATGATTAAAAAAAGATATATTTAGACTAAATGACCCTTACTACTTTGACCTGACTTAGCCTTTGTGTTTTAATATTTATTAAACATTTTCTTTAAATTTCAGGCCCACCAGCGGCCGAGTGGTAAAGTCTCTGAACACTGGTAGTTCGGTCCGAGGTTTGAATCCCGTGAGTGGGCTGGCTGCATGGGTTTTTTCGTGATTTTCCCCATGTATAACGTGTATACGAGCCAGTTTCCCTTAGAAAGTCCTCCACGAAGACATCTCTTCCCTTAGGCAGACAGCCCTTGAGGCTTTGCCGTAAATAAATAACCTAACCTTTAGATAAATTTATTCCGAGCAGAATAATGAATTTCAGACATGTTCAAGAGGTGTGTTTTTGAATCTTAATTCCATTTTTGTCATGTAGTGTCCATTTTTTTAATTTCACATACTTCTAAAGAAATAGAACCAGTGTTCCTCTCCGCTTTGACAGAAAACCAAAATGTAGCAAGTGTATAACGAAAATGTACATGTTTTATTAAAAATATAGTGAGACCTGTATAAACTCAACCGTTCACAGTTTTAAAGGATTTTGGTTGTAGATATGGTGGTCTTAGAAATGTGATATTCACTGGCAATGTCTGTTTATGTTCGCAAAAAATACAGGTCTCTTTCATAAGGCGACCTCTTAGAAATGTCGTCAATAGATATAATTCACTATAATTATTTTCTAATGGATAATGGAATTAATTTAATATAATGTCAAGCAAAAAACAGCTATTTACAATAGGGAGATTTAAAAGCACTATAACTGTAATTAAGAGCACTGTAATTTTTCTTTCACAATCAGCTGTTATACAAGATTAGTTGCTTTCCTGTGTATTTTTCATCCATACGTCTTGAACAAATATACAGCAAATGCAATACAAATTATTAAAATATTACAATTTAAAACATTAATACTAATTTTCTATTACTATACATTATACTATTAATGAATGATGAATTTATATAATATGTATACTTAGAATCTAAAAACGATGAACTTTGAATCTGATGACTCTATAAATATATATTTATGTAGTTACAAAATTTTATTAGATGTTATTATATGCATAGTTTTTTGTAATCTTCACTAATTACAAATTAGTTCTTTGTAATTAATTTCTAATAAAATGCTTCATATTTATTACTATATTTTGAGGTGACTGTACTTAAATTTGTAGATATGTTGACTTCTAAGAGCTGTTCCATCCCCCCCAAAATAAATAAATAAAATGAAAATTAAAAACACTATTCCAAATTGCTGTAATTGAAGGATTAAGAGGTTACATTTGGAATTCATTTTCTGACAGGGCGTCAGCTGACAGTTTTAATTTATTCAGAAATCTAAAAGAAAGTAGCTATTGAAAATTGCCAAATTAGGATTGTTACATTCAAAAACGTTTTCAATGATAAATATATTTAAGCTTTGATAATAAGCTCAGTCTAAAGTAAATAATAAAACATCTCTTAGCCAAGTTTTCATTGTGCTTAATTGTTTTAATATTCCTAAACTTAAAAGCAACTAAAGAAAAAACTAAAAAGAAATAAAAAAAAAAGAAATAAAATAAGATTCAAGTGTTTTTAATTAAAAAGTTAATAGTTTTAATAATGAAACATAATTATATTTAATCTCAGCCCTATTACCTTAAAAATAGCATGTGAGAAATTCCACAATGATATTTTTCATTTTCACATACACATACCAAAGTTAAATAAGTAAATAAATAATAAAATGCAATTTCAGATTTATCATCGAAACATTATATCTAATCACTTAATCAGAAAGTTTGCTTTCAATCTAATAAATTAAACAAAGTAATGATAAAATATACAAACAGACATATTTGAGACATTAAAATTCAGATCTGAATACTCCATTTATTATAATTAAAATTATAAATATATGGTATAGTAATAAAAAACCATAAGTCCCTTTTGATTATGTGCGCTTTTAATCAGTGTGGGCTTTTATCAGCTTGGGCTTATATCTATGTGGGCTTTTATCAATGTGCGCTTTCATCGCTGTGGGTATTTGTCGTATGGGCAATTATCATAGTGGGCTTTTGTCTGGGAACCAAAACGAACATGATACTTGAATTAAAAACTATTTGAACAGTGCTGCCATCTAGTAGCAGCAGGTCTTACATGCGTGCTGGGATGTATTTGATCCCACCTTTTAATTTCAACCATTCTTAATTAATATAATATGAATACAAATAATAATTGTTTTAGAACAGAAAACTTTCACATAAAAATATTCATAAATTAATATAATATGAATACAAATAATAATTGTTTTACAACAGGAAACTTTCACATAAAAATATTCATTCTAACACCAAAAGTTGTTGTTCAGACAATTTAAATTGCATTAGAAATAAATAAAAACTGCTTCAAAATTAGACCTGCAAAGAAATTTTCTTTTACATTATTTCCATGAATGAATACTAGTGCTACCATCTGTTATACATTTAGAGAACTAAATTAAGGAAGAGAATTAAATTAAGGAAGAGAATTAGAACTAAATTAAGGAAGAGAATTAGAACTAAATTAAGGAAGAGAATTAGCCTAAGAATTAGAGGAGTAATTGTACGTATAGTAAATGGAATTTTGCAGCTTTCTGGGAGATAAAAAGTGATAAAAAAGGTGGAATGCCTGGTGTCCCACTGCCTGTCAAACAGTTAATTGAGTTGGCTATTTTTATAGGAATTAAATTTTGATTATCATTACCGAAAGATTTTATTATCTTTATAGTTATTGGACTGTTATGCCAACTGTATATGGTTTATAAAACGAATAGCTGTTGATGTTTTTATGGGCTTGTTTAATCATATATAAAGTGTCCCTCCTCTGTATAAGCAAACTTCTAATTATATGCAATAACTGGGACCTTGACCCATAATTTGAAAATTGAATTTCCTTTTTTTATTTGTAGGCAAAATGCAAAAAAGCCGAGTGTCATTTTTGGTATTGTTTATAGTGTTATGGAATAAAAAGAGGTATTTTTGTGTGATTAAGGATACTTCCATGGTCTTTCATGCCAAATGAGCACAATTCATCATTGTATACTTATTGTATACAATTGTTACTTATGTATTAATAATTAATATGGATATCTATTTCTGTTCTGGCTTATATTTTTCGTTGTACTTTTATGTTAGGTTATGCCAGAACTGTATGTAATAAATATTAGTGGTAAAAAATACATACAGATGTGCACATAATGAACATTAATGAAAAGGAGTACAGTCAAAAGTCTTTTATCCGGACTCGTCGGGACTTCTAATGGCAATTCTGGACTAATGGCAATTCTGGATTATCGATTTTTCCAGATTATAGATCATCAATTTAAATCTGGTAAGATGGCATGCAGAAATTATAAAATTAAAAATATGAAACCATAATTTATGAAGTAAAGAGCAATTATGATCTAAATGGTATCAAAATTTACAAAAAAAAAAAAAAAAAAAAAGCTTAATATTTATTTGTTTACTTTATTAAACATTTCTTTCAACGCACGCATGCGTAAAGCATATATTACGCATAGTCGAAATTAGAAAATTGCAACCAGAAAACTATTTGATATGTATTCGTGATATTTATAATGACGAGGAATTTGATTTAAATCATATCAAAGACGGAGTACATTGAGATGAAATACTACATTTAGTAAGGAATTATAAGCCGGATAAAATAAAAACATCTGCTCTGAATAATAAGATAAGGATAGTGCTGACAGGTTAACTTTCAGTTCATTGTGTGCCGCTACTCCCCCCCTTTCCCCGCAGAGCAGCGTAAAAATTGATAAACAGATTTCGGAATGGTTAGAGAAACAAACGATATGCCTTTATCCATTTTTTTCAGCAATTCCACTTTTTTGTTTGATGGACGTCGAAACATGCTTTCCCTTTGTAGATCCAGCATCGGAAATTCTATTTGACATATTTGAAAGTTCCAACTTACTTTTATAAAATTGCTCTAGCAGTCTGCAAAAAATAATAAGCCAGTTCCAATTCGAAGATTAAGGAACAACGCAATCTGCAACATTAACTGAAATAGATAATTAGATAATTTTAGCTTAGCTGCGCATGCGTAAAGGCATGCGAATGCGTTGTTGCATGTGCAGAAAGTTTGTAGCTTTGAGGTCCAGATTATGGGTGTCCGGATTTACGACTTTTGACTGTAGTTAAAATTACTGAATTTCAGTTTATAAGTTATTTTCTCCCTCCTTCCAACATACCTTTGTGGTGTAATGGTAGCACACTTGACACATATTCGAGAGGTCCAGGTTTGAGCTGTGGCGATGGCATTGCTCCTTTTTCACTTTTCCTGCTTTAAAATAACTTAATGGATCTATAAGTTCTTGTTGGCTCTACTGTAAATTCATACTAACCTGGTATAAAATTTTTACAAAATTTTACATCAAGTTAAATTTTTATGAAGCTTCATAATGTATTTTATTTTTTAAAAATGTAAATCATAAAATCATGTATGTAATAAGTACAAAGTCTGAGATCTGGTCTCATTGGGACTTTGCCGATACATTACTTCGAATTGTTCTGGGTTTTAGATATCAATTCTACATGAAATGTGTAATCATTGTCAGCATAATGTTAACGTAAAACGTTACCACCATCCTGTTAGTATTAAATTATTAATATTTTAAAGAAAAAAAAAATTTCCTTATCCATGGTCCAGTCTCAATGCTCATGGGTCCACCATAGGCATAGCTGACAATGGTGCTTGGTCAACAGAGGCACATGAGTGGAATGTCTGCTTCACAGTCCTAAGTGTCCGCTGAACTCTGTGTTCCGAAAACTTGCTCTTGAACCTGCATTGTATTGGGGTGTCAGCTGAGCCACTGTCTGGTGTCTGTTTTTGCTGTACCAACTGGGACAGTCTCCGGCATCCTTTTTCTTTGATGACCGGTGGACTGCTGGTATCACCATCATTTATTCACTTTGCATAAATACTAACAATCTCAGATTGCGAACAACCTACCAGTCATGCAGTTTTGGAGATACTCGTTCCGAGTCTTCGGGCCATTACCATCTGCCTTCCGCTTGGATCAGCAGCCTTTCCTATCACTCACAAAAGTAAGTGCAAGAATAATCCCTTACCTTCTCCAGCAGCAGTTAAATACCATTTCCACATAATCACGTGTCCTTCACGTCATCCAGGCGAGTTCATTGGAAAATGTATAGATGGTCGTAATGTTATGGCTCTTCAATGTATATTTATACAATTTTGGCATTGCTGATTACAATAAAAAAAGGGAGGTGCACAACTAGATGTTATAATAGTCTTATATACAAAATTTCAGCATTCTATAGCTAATAATTTTTGAGATAATGCAAGATACATAGGTACGTTCGTATGTATAGACATCAAGAAAAAGAATGGCTAAAATGGGTTTGAAAAGGGTCAAAATGGATACTTTTGTTGAAACATAACCCAAAATTTTTCACGATTACAATATTTCCTTTACTTCATTCAAGGAGGTTATATATATATGAAAGATCTTAAGATGTATTCATTAGCAAAAATTTTTCTTTATTCTTTATTTGTAAGGGACTACAATACACTAAGGAAAAAAAAAAAAAAAAAAAAAAAACTAAACTAATAATACTTTGTAAGGCTATTTTTTTGCTAAGTCGAAATAATACACTCTATGGGTTTTAAAAAATCTTTTAAAATAACTCAATAATTGCACTGAATTTCTTAAATGTTCTGCCTTTCTTGCAGTACTGCAAGAATAACTTATAGCATATTGTTAAAAAAATCAGTGATGAATGACTAAATTTTTGTTCTCATGTTAATTTATATTTTTATTTAATTTTTATTTCAGGTGTGTTTTCTGGTTTGAAAAGCATTGTAGAGAAAGAAAAAGTGTGGGGCTTATACAAGGGTAACGGGGCTCAGATGGTGCGAATATTTCCATATGCAGCTGTTCAGTTTCTCTCCTTTGAATGCTATAAAAAAGTAATATATATGTTTGTCTCTTTTCATTCTGTGAATAAATTTTTATCTGTCTTTTTTAAATATCGGTGTGGATAACTTATAGCCTCTTCACAACTTATATGGCTGTCACAGACCATTATTGAAATGATCAATAGCTGGCCAAGATTTCGGTGATCTGTTTTCTACCCCCCTTAAAATATCCAATACCTTATAGGACAGTTCCTAAAAACGTTTTGCATTACCTTATGTTTCCTGTAAACAACCTGATATAAAAGAATTTTTTTGTAATTTTCCTTGTCATTAGGTTATATGTCCCTTTCTTAACACAGTTTGGTGTCAATGCTTCCTTAATAAAGTGTATTGTCATCAATCTTTCTCCAAAATGTATAGGTATCACAAAGTTTAAACAGAAAAGAGATGCTATACTGCTTAACTCTTAGACATTGAAGTCGCGCAAAACATCGGCAGGTCACCCGAACACTTGAATTATTTTCTACTTAGTGCTTTCTGTTATGGGTGTTGTTAAATGACATGCCAATCATTCTTTTGAAGTGATTAAAAGTAGTTCTGTTATGTGAATGCACCGTTGATGTCAGTGTTTAGCTATTGATGTCCAAAGTTGCAATCCTGTCCAAAAGGAAAATGGCACACAGTGCTGAAAGTGTAATCCCAAGAAAGAAGCTTTCGTTTAATTTAAGTAGGCTATTGTTAGCACTGTAGGATTCTGCTTGGCATGGTGGAAGGAAATCCATTCCAACAAAATACATATATACAGGTATTTCAAATGTTTGAGTGAAACAGAGTTTCTTTCTACCGATGTGAAAGAGTTAATGATACTGATGAATCGGACTTCGAATCAGATGCTGAGTGGTAAGAAGTAGAAAATTAAGTAAATAATAATGAGAAAAAACAAGTTGAAGATGAAATTAGCACAAATTTGAAAGCAGATGTTTTAGAGCAGTGTAAAGAAAATCTAATAAAAGAATGGTCTTGTAATGTTAACATTGATGCTGGGATTTTTCCCTTATTAACCAATTTTTGGGACCAGTTCATAATTTAACAGTTGCTACTTCATCTTTACAATTTTAAAATTATTCCTAATGAATAAAATTTATGAAGCAATTTGTATAAACATGAATTACTATGCAGAATTTTCTACGAGACAGCATGATTCTGTTGACTGTAACTGGGAAGCAACTTTTTTTGTGAAAGAAATATATTAAGGATCTACTTATTAATTTTATTACATTAAAAAAAGTAAAATATTTAGGCTGGGAAAAGGTTTAGTTATGACAAGCACGCGTTTGTGTAGACTCCAACTACTACAGATTCTCCATAGTTTCTATAAAAACTAAAAAATTAAGAGTTAAAGAAAATACTGAAAAAAAAACTGGATTTTTTTGAAAGGGGCAAGGGAATTGATATGATCATGAAATCATGTATTGCATTTTTAGTTGATAGTCTTGCTGATTTTGAAGAGTAAGCAATTGTAGTTCAACGAATTCTGACCCTCATCTACCCAATTAAGCATCCTGCAGAGAAGGGCTTGTTTAACCTGCAGGTCTCATTAAAATATATTTTGCTGAGAAAACATAGCATGTGTTTCTTGTGAGATAAGATTAAACTGGAACTTTTTAAAATGCTACTTCGGGATAAGAGCTTAAACTTATCAAGCTAGAAATTTAATATATATTCTACAGATTCTGCCTCATATTCTGCAGATTGTCCATGCATTAAACATATAAAATTTCTGCAAATCATGTACTTTGTAACAGCACCAGACTTTTCATTCATACATTTCGTAAAAGGTGACAGTAAATGGCATATATTTTCTCAGAGTCATAGAGAAATTAGTACTATAAAATAGAAAGAAAAATCAAATTTATTCATAAAAGATGAGGAAAAGAATGTTACAAAAGCTGAATGCTATTTAATTCTATTTTTAATTAAACATGGCCTTTCAATTTTATGGATTCTAATTTCCTCTGTGATTATTTGTGAATTAAAATATATGCTTCAATAATACATTAGTAGATTTAATAATATTTTTGCTTGAGTAATAAAATGAAAATTTCTAGTTAAACATGCCTGCAGTTTACATGAAGTATTTCAGCGATATATTAATAAATTTCATGATATTTCTGCTTGAGTAGTAAAATGAATATTTCTAGTTAAATATGCCTACGATTTATGTGAAGTATTTTTATATTTTAAGTTATAATTAAATTTAACCTTTAATTGAAAAATATGCCTTGCATATGCATTTTCAAAGTTATAATAGTCATTTCCATGTGTATTACTGACAAGTTTTGCAAGTTGGAGTCTTTGCATTTAATCAAAGACTTGAAAACAAAGGCTGTGAAATCTACTTTTACAGATTTTTTTTTTTTTTTTTTTTTCATCAGCTTAGATTTGATGTTGGACTAATACAAGTCTGGTCAAACTGCATATAAATATCCTACAAAATTGCAAAAACATGCCTGGAGGTATCAAGTAAATGAAGCTCAAAAACCAGTCCTTATGTTAAATAGTTATGCAACATAAAAATTTACTTTATCTTGGCTGATTAAACAGCTAATGCATATAATTTCCACAGACTGTAAAAACGACCCATGATATGTTACATAGTGCCATGTTTACAAACTTTTTCAAAGAGCATTGTGGGAGGTGTAAAATCTCAGCAAATCAGTATAAAAATACTACTGTGTTTCTTAAAAATCATAAAGTGGTGGATCTACTTGATTCCTTTCAGACACAGCAGTGGATGATGTCTTTACAATGCAAGCAGTCACTTGTTATCCACTTCCAAAGTGATCAATCTAATTTCATATTACAACTTATTGAAGAGTCTGCAGAGCAAAATTCATTTCAGAAATTCACCTTAGCCACATTTTTGCTTAGTGCATTTCACAATGATTGGTGGTCATAAACAGAAGGTATTAAATGCAAAGAATTAGGGGAAAAAGGCAAATTTTGGGTCATTGAACATTCTTGTGACATATACCAAATGTGCTTATTCAAAACATGCTTAAGATATGAATTTCGGATTTTGACGTATAAAAAAAGGCACATTTTAGAGGCACAAAAATGCCCCTTTCATGATTATAAAATTTGAAAAAGGCGACATTTTATACATATTGTTGCGTGCATACGGGTTCACAATAGATTGAAGGCACACAGAACTGATGATAGCTTGATAAAATTTATTTTTACCAAAAGAAACACTTTACATTACTGGAATTTTCCACAAAAGTTCTCAGACAGCTCTTCTCCATATCACAAATTACAATGAGTAGTTACACTTCAAACTACTGAGAATGTTAAACACAGCACAATGCAAAGCACATCTAAAAGGGCAAAACTCTGATGGACATCTCTTAATACTTTGAATTCATGCTGAACTAAACAATTGAGAAACTATTGGTCTCCAATTTCATATAGTTTTCTCTCAGCTACTGAGAAATCTCTACCTTCCATTTCACAAAATCACTAAAAGGCATAAAGTTGGCCGAATACAGTTACAGTTACTCATAGAGATCAATTGCAGTTATTCAATTACAGTTTTACAGGGACTGGACCAAAATGTCAACAAATGATTGCCAAGTTTGGCAACATTTTACAATAAAAATTAGCCTCCAAAACAATCTCCACAACCAGTTTGTTGATATCTTTGCCAATATAGTGAGTCAGCCATTTATCTCAATGATAAACAGACTTGCCCCTGTAATCTTATTTTCCCAGCAGAACTGTCTTTTTCAAGCATTTTATATTATATAATACAAAATATAATACCTTTCACATATAATTTCACTCAAATTATTTACATATATAGAAAATTTGTAACAATATGTTTATAATGCAATATAAATATTCAACATATACACATATATGCATGTGTGTATATGCATTTATAAACACAAAATTTACATAGAATACTTAGATATTAATGTATCTGTATGCTCAAATACATTTACCTACAAATACACATACATATTTACCTATAATATAAGATACGTACACTGCTCAAAAAAAAAAAAAAGGGACAGTCCTATATCTCCTGATCTATTGGGCCGATTGACAAAATTTAAATTGCGTTCTTCATGTCTCGAAAGCGCGACTTAGGATATATATTAGATTTATATATAGCACTATTCTAACATAGGTATTTTGACACAAAATCGGACTTTTTCTGAAATAATCTACCAATTTTTTTACATATTTCGATTCTACGACTCAAATTACACCTAAATATGAAATTTTGTAAAATTTGGAGTGAAATTTACGGAGAAATTCACAAATTTATGTTGGCACTTTTTTGTAAGTTTGCGCCAAGAATACTTCACTTGGCAAACTTCTTAATGGCAACCTAGTTTCCTTTCCGGTGAGAGGAAAAAAAGTCACCATCGTTCCTTTTTTCCAAATAATATTCTATATATTATATTTTTTAATTATAACTTATTAGTTTAAGTAATTTTTCTTTTTCGAATTTCATTTTAATTGTTTAAGTTTGTACTTTTTTTTTTTTTTTCTTCGAATAACTGTTTTAAAAATTTCTATTTACCTATTCGAACTGCGTAAATAAAGGTGCGGCGTTTATTTTTTTCAAATAGTTTTCTTTATATATATTTTTCATCATAGTTATTATTTTAGGTAATTTTTAAATTTTTATACTTTTATTTTAATTGTTTGTGTTGCATTGTCTCTTCAGATAATTGTTTTAAAATTTTCTATTTATTCCTTCGAACTGAGCATTTAAAATATATTTATTAATATCAATTTTCCAGAATTTGATTATATTAATTTGAACTGTGTTTCTTTCGGAAGAATATTTTGTAACCCAGACTACGATGCGTTTGAAAACTGCATACTATATAAAAGAGAAAATACAGTAAAGCACAGTTTTACACGCCTTTCAATTTTCCGTTCAGAAAAGATATATATAAATAAGAGAGATGTATAACCGACATTTTATCTTAGGATGACTTGCATACACTGCTTTAAACAGTTTTATCATTGTGCGCATTGCTTTACACAATTTTATCCTACATTTGGTTTCTTAAAATGTTATTCATATTTTAGTCAAATATTTTATTTTTGAAATCGCAAGAATCAAATATCATAAGATTGAAAATTTTTAAATTAAAAAAAAATACAAATACTAAATTTTACGAAAAAATTTGTTTTTAAGCATTCTGAAAGTATATTAAAAAGTATCCAACTTTTCGAAACATTTTGGTATTTCTGACAATCATTTTAAATAAAGTTATCGCCTTCCATTTCATAAAGGCCTACAAACGACTGAGCGGTAAAGACGCTGATCACTGGTAGTTCAGTTCGAGGTTCGAATCCCACGAACGGGCTGGTTGCATGGGTGTTTCCGTGGTTTTCCTGATGTGTAACGTGTATACGAGCCAGTTTCCCTTAGAAAGTCCTCCACGAAGGCATCCCTCCCTTTAGGCAGATAGCCCTTGTGTGCTTTGCCATAATTAAATAATCCAATCCAATCCTTAATTAAATATAATCGATTTGTAACTTCTACTAGAAAAACTGACGTTAAGAATTGAATCGCTCTTTCAGCCACTTCAAAAAAGCATCAGTTGTTTAAATAAATTGTGCAGTTATGTCATAAAATTTAAAAATTAACATTCAAACGAAAATTCTCTTTCAGTTTTTAGACAATTCGATTTAAACAAGGTAAAGTAGCAGACGATTTAAAACGCCGAAGATAAAAATTTACTCTTATTAAAAAAAAAAAAAAAAAAAGATAGAGAGAAATTCAAAAAAATATTAAAAAATTTATTTAAAAAAATAGCTTTTCATATAGTATTAATAAATATTTATTACGCATCACTGAGGGAAAAATGTCATATAATTAATTCTCCGTAAAATTTTACTTGAAATTTAAGGATAAAAATAACTGTGGCAATACAGTGTAACAAAAATCCATAGACCACATTTGGCATTATTATCGCTCAAAAAAAAAAAGATGCCAAATTTCAAAACGCGAAAATATGTAAATTCGTGTATATCTTAGAAAATTTTGAATAAAAAAGTCTAATTTTTTGCAGATATGCTTAAAAATATACCTACTTTAAGATGATGGTAAAAATTTTATAGGTTATAATTCAAAATTTTTTCCGAAAAATTTATAAAAATTATTTTTAAAATAGAAATTTAAAAAATAAAACACAAAAAATGGGTAAATTTTATTTGGAATGAACCTAAATTTCGAAATGTGAGAGAAAAAATCAAAAAAGTTTAATAAAAAAAGAGATATAAATAAATATTTGCCAAATTCAATTAACATTGAGGAGCTAAAATTTTGAAAGCTAATATTTTAAAAACTACTCGTACGATTTTTACAAAACTTGGTATTCTGGCATAATTTGAGTCGTAGAATTGAAATATGTAAAAAAATTGGTATGTTATTTCTGAAAAAGTCCGATTTTGTGCCAAAATACCTATGCTAGAATAGTGCTATATATAAATCTAATATATATCCTAAGTCGCGCTTTCAAGACACGAAGAACGCAGTTTGAATTTCGCGAATCGCCCCAGTAGAATGGGGGATATAGCACTGTCCCATTTTTTTCTTTTTTTTTGAGCAGTGTACATACATATTTACCTGTCATAAATGCAGGGTAAAATTTATGAATGTAATCAAATAAAAAACACAGAAGGGTAAAATTTACTATATGTATGTAAACAATGCAGTACATGAAATAATGACAAAAGAAGCATAAATTAATATATGCCACCTATGTATGGAAAAAAGGTAATACTTCACTATGTAGTGTGTAACAGAAATATTCAAAGTGAAACTATATCCTCCATTCCATCATGAAACATGAAATTATTAAAGAAATTATCATTGAAATAGAAATTTTTTGATATGCATTATATTAATTCATGGGTGTAGCATAGAGAGTAAGTTTAGTCAAAACATGCAAGATGTTTAGTCTATTTCTCAAATATTTTTTTAGACATGGTAAGCAAATGTATTAATTATTTTAAATATCCTATACTATGTCATTTTAAAATGGCAATCGTATCTAGGTGCATAAATACAGGTAAGATATTGGTGTGTATCATTTAAATATATGCATTGAGGGGAAAACATTTAAGCATGTTTTAAAAGCTTTATTATTAAAAATTATCTATTATTTAAAAGTTTTATTCTGAGGTATAATTATTATAAAATATTTTAAATTCATTTCTAATTTAATGTGTGTATATGTGTGTGTAGATAACAGTTGGTATTCCCCTTGTGAATTCTATATCGTCATTTTTTTCATTTTAATTTATCCATATTTGCAGATATTGAGGAATAATTTTGGTCAATCTCAAGAATTGAAACTTCTTGCTGGATCTGCTGCAGGTAATTTATTTTAATGGGAAATATATTTCTAAAATCAAATGTTAGTCATCCCACTTTTTGCTGTGCAATTTTTTAAACAAAATTGTTAAATTTTTTCTTCTTCTTTTTTAATTTCATTTCCCCCCCCCATATCTAAAAGTACTAATTTTAAAAATAGGTTAAAGCTAATTATGTTCTCTACTTCTTGCTTTTATGTATGAATTTTTTTAGTATGAAAATGTTTCATGCAAATATTGTGTGATATCACTTCATTAACAGGTGCTGATTTTGCTGTCATATTCTGATGAATCATTTAAATTTCTTGTCTGTTTCCATTTTTTAAAATAAAACTGTCAGCACCATAAGAACAAGTATTTTTCTAATTCACACTATCTGAAGTGAATAGTATTAGTTTCACAGGTTATGATTTTAAAAAAATACATAAAATTAGCTTTTTTAGTAATCATTCAAATATCATGTAAATCGAAGATGAGATAAATAAAGATGGTGTTATATATTTTTTATTTTAGGTGTTACTGCTGTGTTGATGACATATCCTCTAGATGTTGTCCGAGCTCGTCTAGCCTTTCAAGTTACTGGTGAACATGTTTATACTGGCATTGTGCATACATTGTTTTGCATATTTAGGACAGTAAGTGCATTCTGTAATTCTAAAATTTGCTGTAAATCTATTTTATACCTTTTTTTAATCATGTTTACAAGTTTTTTTTTTTTTTTGGTCGAATTTCTTCAGATTTTATTGAAAATTGTATGCTGCTGTAAATATCTCTTTTACTAAATTTTATACAAATTGTTTGTAAACTGAAAAGAAATTTCTCATCTCAAAATTTTATGCCAAAATGAAGTAACATAGTTACATTAATGTGAGCAAGTTTTATGAGAAGTGTGTGATGAATCTGCCAACTTACAAAACAAAAAAATAATTATTTAATAGGACTTTTTTTACAAACAAAAATTCAGAAGTTTAGAAATATAAAACAGATTAAATTTATAATTCATGAATGATTAAAATTCTGTTTTAGTTGAAATAATAATTATGAACATTTTTTTCTTGCATTGTTAAATTTTAAATATTTTTAATAATATTTTGTGTCTGCTATAAATGAAGGTACCGTAATTTCTGGAAGCAAGACATGAAACTGTAACTCAAAAATAAATTAAAGGTAAGAAATGTTGAAAATATTTTTACGTTCACGAATATACTTATATTTACCCACTAAAGAAGTCCATATTTGTTATGCTCGCACTATATTATAAAAAATGTCGCAACAACGAGATATTAAATTTGGATGACAAAAGAAAATTTGAAATTTTACTTACAGAGGAATTACAGCAAACTGTACATAAAAGGAAGCCATCAAAATCTGATTCTTCAATATCTGAATTAAAAAGATTTAGTAAATACTGATCCAAGTCCAAATCTTCCAATTGTCACATTCATCCTCTTGGTTTACAGTCTCTTTATCAGAGGATATAATTTCAGCTTCTTTGAATGCTGCTATTATTGGCGATGTTTTCAATGATTTCCACGCACTTCCTATCAGGGCTGTGGAGTCAGAGCTGGAGTCCCTAAAAACAGGTTACTCCAATTTTTGTTGAACAGTATTAATTTGAAATGAAATTTAAATGAATTGAAAAAAAATAATGACAAGCTGAGTTATTTTTTTTATTTACGGACTATATGCATTAATAAATAGTTATTTTCTATTTTATTGACGTTTTAATAAATAAATATAAGGGAGGAGGATGAATGTGATATTTGCCATTAGTGATTAAATTGATTCATTTAGTTACAAATCTCGCTGGTAAATTTAGGTAAGCAGCACTAGCAGCAAGAACTCCCAAAATTGATGCCATTCTTAGGAAGTGAGCAGGAAAAGGACCAATTATTGATCAAGCAATACGATAAGAAAGTACATATTTGATGATAAAGAGGTTGTTAGAATTAAGAACTTTTTTAGAAGATGTAGATAACCCTAATGTTTCACTAACAGAAAGACTGGAATGATCTTGCAGAATTGGAAACTCTTCTTTCTACATCGTATATAGCCACAAAAAAGCTGAAATCTGAAGAATTGACAGGAGGCTAGAATGGAAGAATGTGTTGTTTTTTCTTTCTGAAATGGAGGGTTTATTGCCGAAGGAATCATTTCTTCAATGAAGAAAAGAGAAACTAGTTTGCTAGACAATGAGATCTTGCTGGTTTCAGTATATGTAGATCCGAAACACCGAATTTGCTTGGATGAGGAGCAACTTACAAAGGCAACTTAAAAAGCCATATATGAACTTTCATTAAGAATGAAATTATTCTCAGAGTAATTGGAGAATTCGAATCAGGACAGTCAAACTGCAGACATTGCAATTGAGTCTCTATCATCTCTTCCAAAGATGAATTAGATTTTGAGAAATATTTTTGGATAATATTGAAAAGGCTAAGGCAAAGCAAATGAACATAAAGAACCAGGAGCATTTAGATATAAAAATGAAAAAATACAAACAAGATTTCTACATGGCCTTTGAAGAAATAGAGAAATATGATTGTGCTTGCAAAACACCTCTTTTAAAAGTTATAAAAAAATCTATCCTGAAAAGTTAAAAGAAGTAGCCCTAACAGTAACAGCTCTTCCTCCTACTCAAGTTAGTGTGGAGAGACTCTTTTCAGCTCTGAAGTTTATCAAATCGGATCTATGGCCCTCCTTCAAAGAAGGTCTTGTCAACAAAGAAGCTATACTGTTTCGTAGGCATAACTAATGTCAGTTTTACAATTTCATAATAAATTCTAATTAAAATAAATAATTTGCTATGCCATCAATTTCTTTTTCTGTAGCATCTATTACTTCTTTTATATTAAAAAAATAAGCTGTAACCCATGTGTATATGTTAACACACATATATATATATATATACATATATATATATATACATATATATATATACATATATGTATATATATATACACACATATATATATATATATATGTATATGAGGGAGTTGGAATCAGAGTCGGAGTCTTTAAAATTCTAGTATGCACAAAACTATTTTTTCTTTTCATAAATCTGCTACACCAGCAAGGCCCTCTTTTGAAATCATTTATGTTAATTTGTTTTGCTATAAATTTTGCTTGTAAGCGAATTTTTACAGTCGAGATTGCCATTCCCTTTCCTCCTCGTTCTTTTATCCAGTTTGCAAGGTCATCCTCTAGATTCGGCCACCTTACAGTACCACTTCTTTTGGCTCTTTTCTGTTGTGGCATTTTTTTAAAATTCTTCTTCAGTTCTTCACCGTCGAATGCATCTCTTGTCCGCTGCAGCTCTATTTCCAATTTGTTCAGCACCTGAAATTACATTTAGCTTAAAACCAGCAGTATAGCTTCTGTGCCATTTAGGTGCCATTTTAAAAAATTTTCCCCTCTCTTCTTACTTAAAAACTACTCAACAAGTACTTGTACACCAACTGATGGGATCTGTATCTGGCAGAATTCCAAGAAAACTCGATTCATGCTGAAGGGGAAATATGTCAGAATTCGTTATTGCAATGCAGGTGGTGTCCGCCTTGGAAAAAATTGGAGCAGATTTACAATGGAAAAGGCAGGGGTGGGGAGAGGATGGGTTCTGGAAGATTCATCGAATGGCAGAGAAGAGAGACTATTCAAACTGATGATAATGCTGATTTGAAAGAGGGAAGAATGTTATTGTTCTGAGATCCCGTTGAGGGTGATTAAGGCACGTAGATCCATTCAAGGGAAAGAATGTAAACAAAATAAAATTTGCAAAAAGCAACTGAGTGGTCTTTTTGTGTGGGAACAGCACCATTCTAGGTACAATGACAAGGTCATCCAAATTATGACAACAAGGTTTTTCAAACTATGCACAATGACATCGTAGGAAATATTTTTTAATTGCACTTAAGCGCCACATAGGTAGAAACGCGACACCCGCTGAAAATTTAAGTTTTAGACACGTAAATGCCGCGGTGTTTCTTCCAGAAATTACGGTAAACAAATTCTGTACTTATGATCTGTAGTTTTATGTAGTTAAAAAATATCAATATATATAGCATAACCTTTTCGCGACGGTGCACCTTTTTTTAAGACGCTCGTGCGGGACGGAAGGGAATCGAAGGCAGTCACCGTACAGGACGGAGGTTTTGCATTGATAAGCCTAATTTTATATAAAAAAAAAAAAAAAAATCAAAGAAAAAAGTTTCGCTTCTAGCATCATAATTTTTGGTATCATTTTAGATTATTACTTGAGCTCTTATATATGTTAAAATTAGCACTTAATAACTTTTTTTTTTCTTTATTTTACACGAAAATGTACTTAAATAATTGCTTATCTTGTAAAATAAATTTTGGAAGCGCTATTCAAATTATTCCAAAGTTTTAATTGATAAAATCCATCAATAAAGTTTAAAATTAATAAAACAACACAATAAAGACTATTTACTGTAAGAAGTAACCAATATTTAAAATGAAGACGAATGTGGTAAATCTTGAAGCACAGAGAAGTATCACTTTCTAACTCTTAGAAAAAGTATCACTTTACTCTTTAGAAAATGAATCATTATTCTCATTTGCATTAGTAAATGGTTCACTAACCATACAAAGAGATTCTTCCTCTGATAAATAGGGCCTTCCTGCCATAATGGACAGTAGGTGAGACTTTCCTAAATAAAAAGAGAAGAAACGGAAATATATTTGAAGGCAATGCAAAACGTAAAAGAACTCCGCACAGTAACCCTAAAAGACCGTGCATAGTAGAGGAAAAAAATAGAATAAAAAAAGGAATTGGATATAAATCAGACACGAGAATGTTTTCATTAGCACACAGCGATTTAAAGAGCCCACCTCTATTTACGCTTTGCCTCCCCCCACCCTCGCAACAGCTGATGAGTAAAATAGCAAAGTCAAGCAGAATATATCAAACTCAAGGTCAGGAACCTAAAACTGAGTTCATTTGAAAAGTAATGGACATAGGATGCCATCTAGAGGCCTTCAGAAAAATGTTCCACCTTAAAATGCGTATACGCATCACCCGTCCTCTGAATGCAATCTCCAGTGATGCATGGATGGGATGCCCGGCTGTAAGAGACATTCTTAGGGAATGCGTATATGGGACGCCCGTCCTGAAAGGGATAATAACTAAAATCTGCAAATAAGATCTTCAAAACTTAAATCTACCGCAATTATTGCCAAGATTGTTATACAATAATTAATCAAATTATTATAACTAAACAATTTTAAAATGTTTAAATAAAAATATACTTTAATTTAATATAATATATATACAAACAAAAATGTACTATATATGTAATGAAAAGGAGAAAGACACAATGTTGATGATTTAGAATGAAGATCCATATTGAAGAGAAAACCTGGCTATCTTGAAGTTCTACCAAAGGATCTAAAAGGTACCACTAAATGAGGTTTTCAAAATTATGTTTAGCAGTGCTCTTATTCAGCTTGTTTTCTTTGAGCAAACTAATATGCTCTCTTTGAGTGATATTTAAAAAAAAAAAAAAAAAAAAAAAAAAAAAAAAAAAAAAACTGCATCATGAGGGAAAAAATATTACTGATTAAAGCTAGGCCTAATAAAAGGAATCCGCTGATGTGTACTGTTGAGCAGTTTGCTTATATTCAGCTTATTTTCAGCCTATCAGCGGCTGAGCAGTAAAGTTGCTGAACACCGGTAGCTCGGTCCGAGGTCCGAATTCCATGAATAAGCTGGCTGCGTGGGCATTTTCGGGGTTTTCCCCCATCAACATATATACGAGCCAGTTTCCCTTAGAAAGTCCTCCACGAAAACATTCCTTCCCTTAGGCAGATAGCTCTCGAGGATTTGCCGTATTCAAATAAACCAAACCAAACCAAAACAACTTAGTTCCATAAAAAATATGTGTTATTATGTGTGTTATAAAAAATGTGTGTTTTATTTATTATTTTTTTATCTTTTACATGAATGGAAAAGTAAAAAAATAAGTTAACAAAAGCTCAATGAAGGCCGAAGGAGGAAATCTGCTTTAATTGTTTGTCTTGTGTGAAATACATATAAAAAACATCAGATGGATGCACCATAGCTATTGAAGGCTTTTAAATTTGTCATTTTATATATATATATGTATATATATTTATTATAATAATTTTTGCTCGGTTTTTTATATTGTTTATTTAAACTTTTTTTTTTTTTTTTAATTTACAAGACCATTGAACTTTCAATTTTAAATTCAACTAAATTTAAGAAATATTCTTAAATTGTAAATGCCATTGTCTGGAATTAGAAATTAATTAATTAAATCATTTTTAAGGAACAATCAGATTTCACCCATGCAACAATTAAAAAGCATTTATTACTATTTTTGTTTGAAAGCATTTAAGACTTACATTTCTTCCTCTTAAAATCATATATTTTTAAGGATTTATCAGATTAACATGCAATTTTTTTTTTTTTTTTTTTTTCATCATAGGCAAAAAATCAATTTTAAATGTTATCAGTCTGTTTTATCTCATGTTTTTTCTCAATACTTGCAAAAAATATTACTAAAACAGTAGTAACTGACAAGTTCTGCTTTAATTATTTATGTATTTTATTCTAATTACATCCACTCTTTACAAATCATCTGCAACTCTCTTTCAGGAAGGAGGAATGAGAGCTTTGTACAAAGGATTATCTCCAACTGTTCTGGGTATGATTCCTTACGCAGGTTAGTTGAGTACAGAATTTTTACTGTATTTAAAGTATTAATATTTTATTTATATTTCCAAACATAAAAAATGCTTGTAAATGGAATCCTATTAAGAAAGCCTTAAAATGTTAGAAAATTAGGATAATTTTTATCGGAAAGATTCATGAAAAAGAAAAGCTTATTAAAACAAAGTATAATAGTTAATGAATTAAACTATCAGTTGTATAAGAAAAACAACTTATCTTTAAAATTTTCATATTAATGTGTAATGATTGTCAGTTTCATATTAACATATAATGATTGTCAGTTGTCAGTGTCTACTTCAGTTTTGGCAAAATTAACTCACTGTGGAAAAACCCTTCTTTTAACTTGCACCAAATTTTCTGGTTCTGGTGTTTGGCAGATGTTTGCAGATTGTAATACAAGTTAGCAAATTTGTAGTCATTATTTAATTAGCCAACTGTTGTAATGAAAGTAATACCCTCCAGGCTGTAATGGCTATTCTACTTGAAAACTGCACGTCTTGTAAAACTTTAAATTTTCTGCAAGTTGGAAAAGTTTGTATCATAGCATATATTAAATGTAAAAAAAATTATCAGGTGTTCAATTCAGTTGATATCTTAAAAGAATTTTCAACTTCAAAGGAAAAAAAAAACTTTTAAAATGATGGTTTGTATATATATATATATATATATATATATATATGTGCGGGTATATCTTTGCCTTTCCTTGGTATCTGGGAGCACACTTCATAAAATGGCTGAAACTTAAAGTATAGGGGAAACACATACACTAATCCAAATGACATTTTAACTTGAACATTTAATGAAGGTTATCAATGATTTTTACACGCTGAAAAAGGATGAGAGGAGCGGGAATATTTACAGAAAATTTATCATAATAAGGGGAAAATGTTCTTTCATCTTGATATCATTTTAAAACTTCTTTATATGTCTTATGTTGTCATGGCGACCTCGTCAAGTACCCCCCCCCCTTTCACAAAAGCAGTGTGCAACACCATATGTCAGTCTGAATGATTATATTCCACATATAGGTCTTTAAAACTTGTTTAAGTAGTAGCTTTTTTTAAATATTGTCTTACGACGACGAAATTATCAAATGATGCTGAACATAATTTTTTTTTAATTGTACGGATTGTTTTATTTTGCTAGTTAATAAGCAATGTAAATTATTCTGTTTCTTCATATGGAATTTTGATTCTGATGTAATTTTCTTAGGAAATATTAATTGATATGAGACTGTAATTAAAATCATCAAATTTTGGGCTAGTTTAGGAAAAATTGTACTTTTCTGAAATTGAACTATAATCAGTGCTAATTTTGTTTGCTTTTCAAAATACCTTTCATGTTATTTTCTTGTTATTTTTATAATATTAATTTTTTGCTCCCTTTAGGTTTATCATTTTATTCATTTGAAAGATTGAAGCTCTGGTGTCTCGAATACTTACCATCTGTATGTGGGAAATCTCGTTCTAGTAGCAGTGGTGGAATAGTTCTAAATGTGCCTGCACTTCTTCTTTGTGGTGGCATTGCTGGAGGTGTGGCACAGACTGTGTCGTAAGTGTAGATTTGATTAGGATATTTTATGCTTCTTTAAAATGTTGCTTAGCATTTTCTTGTCTCCTAAGGCTTAATTTAGTATATTATAATATACATTATCTGGGAATTAAATTATGAGACTGATTTAATTATACGAACCATTCAGACTTGAAGAGAAAAATTAAAATTTCCTACAATTGATTGTTGCTGAAGATGAAACAGGATGTATTATGATTTCACAACTAAAATCCAAAGTTTCTAATGAAAATAAGCATTATCACCACCAAAGAGTTAAAATAATGATCTTCAGAAGTCAAAAGGGGAGATAACGTTAATATGTTTCTATAACTACAAGAGAATTATTCATTGTGACTTTGTGTCTGAGAGATAAACTGTTAGTGTTACTTAAATATTTTAAGGAATTTATGTAAAATGGTACTTCAAATCTGAGCCATGTATGTAGTTTGTAGCAGGTTGTTTTTTGTGTCTTCTTGATAATGCATCAACTCCCTAAACAGTTACTGTATGGAATTTTTGATTCAAAACCTAGCTATTGTATTGGTCATTTCATTCATTCTACTTTGCAGAATTCCTCTTTCTCTCCAGAATTCTTTGTTTTCCTAACCAAATCTGAATATATTGGGTTAAAATAGATAAAATTAACCATGCATATTATTCAGTGTTTGTTTTACAGACAATTTATATTTAAGGAAGAAAAGCTAGATTCTTGTTCAGGTATCATAACCTGACTGCAGTGTAGGGCAAGGGTGAGTCAAAATAAAAGTACATTAACACCATTTGTTGAGTAAATATAGATCCAAAAAATCAAATTTTGAGAAAGGCTCTTAAAAATTTGGGAGAAAAAAAGGGATGGAATTTAACTAAATTTGATATATTTTATTGAATTTGGGTAGTTAATTTATCAATTGAAAATATAATTTGGATTATTTTAGCAAAGCTAAATGACCATTTAAGGGCCAACAGTGATTAGTTATGAAAGATTTATTTCTTTTTTCTTGGTGCAAAATTTGTTCATAAAATGTGAAATTTGAGTATCTTTTAATGTGACTGATATCTTTGTTAAATTATATTCACAAGGATTGTAATAAATTTTTTAAAAGTTAAAATCTGAGTCTTTTTAAGGGCTTTAAAATTGGTCGCCCCCCCCATTTTTTTTTTTCCTTCTGAAAAGAGAGATGCCTTCAAAACTGATAAAATTTGAATGAAAAATATATGTGAGTTCGTCTTCAAAATTAATAAAATTTGAATGAAAAATCTTTGTGAATTAAAGTTTGCTTTTTTCCTAATTTTTAAATTTCGTGTTGACATATTTCTCTTCTAGCAAATTTTATTTTTAGGGAAGAGGAGAAGAATTGCATTCAAATGAGAATATTTTGATCTCTTTAATAAGAGAACATACTTTTACACTAAATAAAGTAAAAATTGTGAGATCTTTAAGCAATTTTATTAGGAATGGAAAGAGTGGCCTTTGTCAACATCAGCAACTTTTCAAATAATTGAATTATATGTATTCTTTTAAATTGTTTGAAAGCTGTTGTCTCCTTTTTTTTGAATATGTTAGTGGTTTTAGAAAATACAAAATTGCAAACACATATTTATATATGTTTGTTGCAGCTAATTGCAACGAAAAAGGGAGATGCACAACTAGATATTATAGCAGGCCCATGCACAAAATTTCGACATTATACGGCTACTTGTTTTTGGGTTATGCGAAATATATATATGCATACATATGTGTGTACAAACATTAAAAAGAAAAAGTCTTCTAAATCTATTTTGATAAAGAGTCCTCTAGTCTGACCATACATACAGATGTCACGCAAAAACGTCGTTCAAATGTATATGATCATTGAAATAATGATACCAAAAATGTTTCACTATTACAATACTTTACTGTGTACAAAAAAGTAAAAATGAGCAAATTTTAAGAGCTGTCTAGAATTGCTGACAATAATCATGAGAAGCTATAGTTTCACCTGATTTTAGTCATTTAAAATGAACTGTGCCAGTTTAATCCCACAGTAAGCCCAATTTAGATGTGGGTATAGTAGAAAACATTTTGGGAGCGTTTTACATTGTTAAATGGAGCACATATTTTATTCCATGGCTGATGCTGTATATAAGCTCGGATAAAGAGAAATTTCCTTATCTAATCAATAAGAATGTTTAGTTCATACTTTATTGGTGTTTATATTCAACAAGTGATTTTGAATTGTTTTAGGAGGGTTGGAACTTTAATAGTGGCAACTATTTATTTACAAGGAATACGAAAGTCATTCATGTCACCATGTTTTACAGTCCTTCAATATAGTCGCCAGCATTGTGTACAACCCGTTTCCAACGATGTGGAAGTCACAGAATACCTGTAGCAGCGCCTGTTTTGTTGATAGTTTGAACGGACCGGTCTACTGCTGCAAGAATCTCAGAAACAGTTTGGAAGCGAGTGCCACGAAGTGGTTCCTTCATCTTAGGAATTAAGTCACAGTCACAAGGGCTTAGATCTGGGGAGTATGGTGGATGGTAAAGCACTTCCCAGCCCCATCGCTTGAACAAATCCACAGCTTGTGCTGCATGCAAGCGAGCATTGTCGTGCAAAATGAGAGGAGCGTTCTGCAGAAAGTGTCACCGTTTTTTTCTCAAAGCTGGTCGGAGATTGTGCTCCAAAAATGAGCAGTAATACTGTGCAGTGACGGTCTGCTGTGGGGGAACGGTATGCGTTAGGATGACACCATCACAGTCGTACACAAGAATCACCATAACTTTCACATTGCTGGGGTTCTGACGAAATTTCGAACGTCGTGGTGACCCGTGATGACACCATTCGTTTGATTGGCGTTTCAGTTCTGGCTGGTACGATCGGGCCCAAGTCTCATCCAGCATAATGATACGGCGTAAAAAAGCATCTCCTTCGTGCTCATAGCACTCCAGGTGGGTTCAGGCAGCATCGTATTGTAGCCATTTCTTCATTTCCGTCAATTGAAGTGGAACCCACCATGAAGCAATTTTTCTCATGGAAAGGCGTTCCTTCAGAATGTGCAGCACAGTCGTATGCGCTAATCCTGTTTGTCCGGCCAGCTGACGAATAGTTTGGCAGCGATCACTGTCCATTAGTGTGGCAACAGCTTGCACGTCTGCCTCGCTGACACTCGGACGACCTGGCCGCAGGATGTATGCCACGTTTTGGCGTCCTTCATTGAATGCTTTCACCCATCTTGCTGCGGTTCTGTAAGGCAATGCAGATTCCACGCAAGCCCCCTTGATGACACTGTCGTGCTGTACGAACTCTGGCACATTAAATTTTTATCCAGCATCGTTGTTCTTGTTTTGAAAACATCCTGACAACACTTACTTTAGACCGTGGGCTAATACAAGGATCCGTTCTTCGCGTCACTCCGCATGCACATGACGTAGGCAGTATGAGTCTTTTTGCTGAGAGGTAAGGTAGGTATGTAGTTTACCTGTGGTATACGCGATATTCTTTGGTTTTGTTGCGTAGCTTTTTTCAGCTGTGTTGCCACTATTAAAGTTCCAACCCTCGTATATACGTGCCTTTCTATCTCATTAAAATGTCTTTCACCAAATGGATTAATATACATAATCAGACATTTCTAATATAACTAGTCTTCGTTTTTGCTTAAAAAAATCTGCAAATTATTGACTCCACAAAATTAAGTTAATTGTATAGGGGGACTTTAATAATTTATTTTGATTTCAATTGTATGTTTGACAAAATAAATAATTTTATTTGAAACTTCAAATGTATTCATCTATTTATGAATATAAAAATATAACTTCCGAATAAAATTAGAAAAATGAAAATTTTTTAGATATCCTCTGGATGTTGCTCGTAGAAAAATGCAACTGAGCATGATGCGGCCAGAGACTCACAGATTTGGGTATGTACTGAAAATATCCATTTTAAAGTTTCAAATTTAGTTTAATAAATAACTAAATTAAATGATCATTTGACTTTGTTTTCAACTCCTAAAAAGATATTTTACTGTTTAAATATATTATTTATGGCAAAATCACATTTTTATCAGCATAATATTTTAATTACATTAGTGAATAATTATCTAGTAATTATGTTTTTTGTACTTTTTTCTTTTCTCAAGAATCAGAAATTCTTGTGTTAGTATTTGTGTTTCCAGATTACCTTTTAGCAACTTTTAAAAATCAAGAGATTCTGAATTTTTTTAAAAAAGAATTATCTTTTAAAAAGTGTCAATTTTAAATATCTCAAATTTCTATGCTTTTAAGTTAAAATCATTAATTTGTACAGTAGTTTACATGCTGTCATCTATTAGAATAGACAAAAATCATCAGGGAAATGCTGAAGTGCACACACTTATCATGTCGTAAAAAAAAAATGCTATATGTATAAAGGTATATTGATGTGCAGTAGCATTCATCAGATGGTTTTGTTTTAGAGCCTTATTTAATAGCTTTCTTCCACAATAAAATTCAATCCAAAATTAAAATCATAATCAATAAGTGTGCTTTCCCAATGATAGTAGACAGACTCTTGCCGGTAAAGGCTTGATTTGGTATTTTTAAAAATCTTATTCCTAAGGTGACAGTGGTGACTTCCATTCAGTATTTTGATGTTTTGTTAAAGGATTATAACAGAAACATCATAGTTAGCACTAGAAAAGTTTTTATTTTTTTGGCACCTTCCAAGTTATCTTTTACTATTTCAGTTTGTGTTTTTTGGGGAAAGGAGGATTATTTGCCAAAGCTTGAAGCAGAAAGCATGTACAAAATCCTTTTTACTAAAATCTTGAACAAAATTTAGTGAATCTTTTTAAAAATTATATATATATTAAAATTGACACCAGGCTTATTTTACAACACATTCAAAGACACCTAGCAATAATTTTTTATTCTTACTTCTCCAGAAAGAATGTTTACTGTCTGCTCTATATTCCATTAAAATAAATTCCCAAATGAATGATGTAAACCGCAGCATTAACCTTTTAACTGTCATGCCCGAAATAATCTCGGACACAGCACTGGTATTCCAAAATGTCACGCCCGAATATTACTCGGGCTAATTTTTTTTTGAGTGCATCGTATTTTTATACCCGAATATATATCGTGAGAAGTTTATTTCAGCTTCAGTTCAACAGATGGCAGCATCTGACTGAAGGTTTCAAAGAATAGAGGTTAAAGTTCAAAGTGCGCATAATTTTTTTTATATTTTTGACTTTGAGGCAAACATTTCATTTTTGGAATAAAAAAAAATGACAATTTATGCACCCAAATCATCAAAATAACTTGACATTTAAAAGGTTAAGATGTAAACCACAGATTGTGAGCTTCATTTTCAGCATTGAAAACTTATGATTGATCAGGTAATAAATAACTTTTCAAAATGTAACGTAGTTTTAATCTAGCATTTAAAGAAGGAAAAAATAGAAAAAAGAGTTCGCTAATAAAAATTCATACATCAAGGAAACATGTTTTATTCATTAAATTCTAAATATTCATATAAAACTATTAGGTGAATTTATTATAAATTATATGGGTTTTTAAAATATATAAATTAAATACATTATTCAGATGTATATTTACACTCGGTTTGTTAATAAAAAATTAATCATATTTGAAAGATAAAGATTTTATACTTTGCTAATGCATTCTGAGTGTGTGCTAAGAGCACATGGAAGATGAATTAAAGAAGGTTTTATGTTTTGTACATTTGTACTACTTGTCCGAATCTACTAGATTTTTTCTAGTCTTATATAGCCAGTTCCCAAGGCATAATCATATCTACCAGTTTTATTTTGCCAGCATAGGATTTTATTTTTTATGTTAAGTGAAAAAAATATGCCCTCTTTAATATGAGGGGGGGATTCTTATTTTTTTTAATTATTTCATTGTTGGATTTACATGTCACTTTGTCCACATGTTTAATTATAATTGTATACATTAAGTTAATATATAATTGTATTTCACAGGAAAGATCTCATTACCACCCTTGTCTTGACATTCCGTGAAGATGGCATTAAGAAAGGACTTTACAGAGGAATGTCCATAAATTATTTAAGAGCAATTCCAATGACTGCTGTATCATTTTCCACATACGAGCTGATGAAACGGCTTTTAGGACTGGACACTGGAATTGAGTCTTGATGTCATGGCTTCAGTTTGTATGTTGAGTCACTTTTAACTTTATGCGGACTGATTTTGCTGCTCAAGATCTGAATGAATCTGATGAATATTTTTCATACTGGTTTGGAATTTTATTGTGCCCTGATTTTTTTAAATTTGGGCCCAGGATCATTTCTGTTGATCTTTTAGAAGATTCCTTGTTAGAGGGATTTATGTATACAAATGTTGTCATAATTTATTTATTTTTGTCACGGTCATCATGTTTTGTTCATCTTTAAATGGGCATGTAGAAATGAATAAATTAGAAGTTAATTTTTGACTGAAAAAAGAAATTTAACTTCCATGAATTTGTTTTTACTAGTATTAACTTACATTTAATAAATATATTGATTTAAATTTAGTTATGGAGTGAATTTAAAAATAAAATTAAAAAGATACATAAATTAAATTATTTTAAAATGTCTTGATTTTATGTATTTTATGTAAGTTTAGATTTATATCAATATGTATTAACTTTACCCCATGTATATGAATTCAAAAATTTCCTTCTTATATATACACCAATTTAAAAATAGCAGGAAAAAATTAATTTTGAAGAACTTAATTGAATGAACATTTTGAAAGATCCCAGTATTATTTCAAGTGCATATTGTTTCCCATTGTATTTAATATTTGATATTATTACATAAGGGGTAAAATTTTAATTTCCAGTGATTTTACTGCTTGATTTGGACTTTGAAGAAGTAAAGGTTCATAACTAGATTACAAAAAGAAAATATTTTCTAGAGTGGAAAGTTTCAAATTGCTATTTGGAAGCTGTATGAAATTAGCTTTATAGCAGAATTTGATTAAGAAGTATTACTTTATTGTTCAGAAATTTATGCATAGTTTGATTTTTAATTGGAGCAAAAACTTTATTTAGGTTTATTTTACTGTAAATATCTGAAATTCATAGTTTGCATCATTGCTTCCAAATTTAAATGTGCAATTTTATTGATATAAAAGCACTTGAAGTGTTATGCTTTTTTTTAGCAAACTTTGTTTTTTACTATAATTTACTACTTT